TGCAGTTGCATTATGGGAAATGTAGGATCTACCTGTATTTATTTAGTCACTTTTTCTTGTTTTGTTTTCTGTTTATATTTACTTCTCATCTTTATTATTATTATTTTCATTATTATTTTGTTTTGGTTTATTGTTGCTGTTGTTGTTTATTACTCTTTCACTTTAAATAAAATAAAATATAGGGAGGATATACACAAATGATTTGGAAGAGAGAAGCTAGAGCGAAAGAAAACAACTGATTAGTCGATTAATTGATTAGCTGACTGACAGAAAATTAACTGGAACGATTTTAATAAACAAATGATTTTAATTGAGTCATTTTTTAAGCAACATTTGCTGAAATCAGAGGTTTTAATTGGATTTAATCTTTGTTGGAGACGTCACTTTGAAACGCAGGATCATTCGTCACTTTTTTCTGACATTTTATAGACCGAACGACTGATTGATCAACTGAGAAAACAACCGTCACTTCAGTCAATAGTGAGAATAATCGTTGGTGCAGTCCTACCCATCACGGGGGAAGGGCGAGAGTAATGTCTGCTGTTAACCTTTCTGCATGACGGAACGCTTGCAATGAAAGTTTTTGTTTTCTGTGTCTATAAACAGAAAGAAACACAGCAGAGAATAAAAGAAATGATTCTGTAACTAATAATAAAATGAAGATAAGAGCAGCAGGTCACAGTCAGCGCTCGTCGTTCTGCTTTTGGAAATCCGCCCCCCTCAGAAGCGCAGCCACTAAACGCGACATTGCCAAGTGTAAACAAAGTGCAGCGAGGCTCGGCGCTCGCAGCTTAAAGCTCCAATCGCAGAACAAAACAGAGAGGATCATGTGTTGGCCTCGGAGCCAAGAGAGCATGTGGTGCTTTTGTTCTCTCTCAAATGGATACCTGTACATGAAAAATGTGAGCTGCAAGGACACTGCTGTGCATTCATCTGCAAACAAATAAGCAACTTGACACCAGAGGAAAACTAACATGTCATACTGTAAATAAATGGCCACGGTGTCCTTTAAACAAATTACCCACCAGCGACTGCTGCAAAGGTCTGTTTAACTTTTCATGGGTGTACACCGCAGAGAATGAAAAAATATCTACCAACGAGCCTGATCAGGAAATCAAACAGGGAAGTGTGACCAAAAGCAAGTCAACCATCAGTTCTTGTTCAGCTCAGTCAGTCAATCACATGAAGATCTTTTGGTTTTGGACAGGCTTTTGTGAAAAAACAAGCAACGGAAGACATTTTTGGACAAAACAAATAACTGATCAATCAGGAAAACAACCAAAATCGATTGAGAATGAACAAAAAAGCCCTAAAAGAATCATCACCCCGGCCTCTGGGAGACTGAGGGACATATTTCACTTTGTCCGACATTTTATAGACAAAAAAATGAATGAATGAATTGAGAGCTGGGACCCCAAATAGGGGTGGCAAAGCCTTCTTGATTTTAAGGGTTGTAAGAAGACTTAAATATGTACAGTAGGCCGATGTCTCTGCATTATGTTTCTTTCTGTTAAATTATTATTTAAGATCTAAACTTTGAAGAGCTGAACACAAACTATATTCACAGAGCCTTCAGTCTCTGGTAAACAACCTCGTCCTGCGTTAACAGAGAGAACTAACAGAACAATGGCCGAGTCTCAGGGAGAAGAAGACACTGAATTTGTCAAAAAAGAGGAAGCTTGTATCTGTAGAAGTCTATATGATAAAATAGAGAAAATACATAATACAGACAGAGCATTGTATAAATATATGAGGAAAACCTGTCTCAGATCAATATTCAGGAAATAATCTGCTCAAAATTCATCCAAATCTCTTTTTTACACAAACTTCCTGCAGTTATTGTGTTCACTGTTTGGGTCCATTGTACAGTTTATCAGCTATTCTCTACTGTTATTGTTATTATTGATATATATGAAATATACATAAAATAAGTCACTTATTGAGGGGTTGTCAGTTTACACAATGATAGAAAAAGGGTCTCTTCAGGGAAAAGGTTGGGAGCCGTTGAGATAAAGTAACTGAATTGATTCAAGTACACATTGTGAATCAGTGTTTCTTTCTAAGTGACGGCGTAATGTGCGCACTCACCTGTGGTTTCAGCTCTCGTTATGATCCTTGAAGAGGAGTCAGTCTCCTGTCAGGCGCCTCTGTCTCCCAACAACAAAACCAAGGAGCTGAGGAGAGAAAACACAGGGACACATTTTATTAATCAAACTCCCAGCTTCCCTCTTTCTGGAGGAAAAGACCTCCCGACAATCCTATTTGTGTCTCGAATCATGAGACGGAAACCACAAGGTTTCGTGTGTAATGAGATCTTGATGAGTTCGATGGCGTGAGTTTTTCAGATCGGACCAATGTCACCTCCGTTTACTGAGGCAGGCAAAGGCCGCAGCTTTCCTCCCGTCTGAGAGCGAACAGGAAACCTGGAGGAGAGGAAGACGCTCGATTTGCCCTCGGGAGATACCAGCGCTCGGCAGACGCCAGCCGCGCCAATACCACAAGCCCCCACTCCTCTATCTCGCTCTCAGCCTCTCCTCCTCTCGTCTTTCCTTTCATCTCGGAGTCATTGTAAAGTGTAATGAAAGAAAGATGGATGAATAATTCAGCAGACAGCATTTAAGAACTCTCCTTTTATGTCTTTCTGATAACGCAGGACACGCAGGCTTTACACGCCGAGTGCCATACAGTGATTTTTTTTAAGTTTTCAGTCTAATGTGGGGTTCCCCATTAAGAGAGTTCCCTGTTAATTATGTTCACTTCCTACAAAGGCTCCATTTAAAACCTAAGTGGGACGCCCCGGCTGCTGCTCTTCAGCCGGCGTTTTGTCTGATCACTTCAGCGTCGTGTTTAGGCGACGAGCTGCAGCATTAACTCTTCATTTCCAAAAGCAGTCTATAGGGTAACGCGGGCCTGATCCTTTTAGATCTTGTCAAACTGAAATGGGATTAGAGGTGTTGAGCATCTGTCCTCTCAATCTGGGTTTTAATAGAGCAAGAGCAGATGATCTGGTCTGGCAGCGTCCTCCCCCGGGTACACCTGGTCCTGGGAAGAGAAGCAGACCCTGATCTGTGATCCGAGTCATGGACCAGATCACAAAGACGGCAGATCACAGAGATCAAAAATAAGCAGCGCAAAGAGAGAGACCTCGACTGCACATCGCCAGTATTTATTTACCGCGGACGGAGTGGATGCTGGGAAAATGATCAAACGTATACATCAAATTCAGGTTTTTTCAAAGAGGTTTGGTGAGACGCTGCAGATGAGGATGAGCCGATGAGATTCATGGAATGAGGGCAAGGCTGAGGGAGGGAAAAAAAAAAAACAATTTCAAAGGCGACTCAGCTGAAGCAGAGAAGAAATGCACAAAAGCTTCTTAAATCATGTCAGTCGCACTCTTGGGGATTTGGCATAGGCAAGGCCGTCTGAGGGTATGTCAAACACCACCCTTTCCATCTGCCAATCTGGGGAAGGCGCAGATTGAAGTTCCTGCTATGTAGGCAAAGTGTGTAGGCGGGAGAAGTAAACAATGTGACAAAAGCCCCTAAATCCTCACATGGTGGATTTAAACAAGATCAGGGAAGAGTGTTTCCTCCAAAAAATGTAGGCCAAAGTCGGGGTTTCTGCAGACGCGATTGTCTGCCTCGCTAATAAAGACGCAGATGAATATCAAAGAGGAGGAGAAGATATGGGTGAGACAGAATCAGGCTGGCAGACTCCCCCCCACCCTCCTGCGCTGTTTCCTGTCTGATGTTTGGCTATATGAACCGAGACGAATCGTACACAAGCGATATTTGGGATGAGGAGCAGAGGCAGCAGAGAGGAGGAGGTGATGGGGGGAGGGGACGGATGAGAAGGGGGAAGCTCCCTTTCCCCAAAAGGACTGAAAAAGGTTGGACGTGCGCCATGTATGTTCTGAGAGCGATCAAAACTGAACACAGGGATCCCTTTCCTGAAACCTCCACACCCAGAGGAGGACACACATCCCGGGGGGGGGCCCTCCACCTCTGATACAGCACCAACTCTGTCCGACCGCCACCACCAGCGCACACAGTCGGCAGATTTACGACACATTGTTTGGTTGCGACCAAAACATTCCTACTTTTTTGCGATTCCGCTTGTGGGTTCAGCAAAGAATAAAAGCGACACAGCGAGATACTAAAGCTAACCTAAACACACACACACACACAACGGAACAAATCAAACCCTCAAACAGTCATCTCAAGTCCATTCATGTCATTAAACCTCACTGACACATCACTTCATTCTCACACCAGTAAAAAAAGATCTGCCTCACTGTGACCACAGAAACGCAGTCACACCAGGAAACAGACTGTCAGCTGGAAGAACTGAATTAGTATTTACAGATTTACAAACCCACCCCCCCTCGACAACACATTTTGGGTCAGCTCACCTTCCTCCTGCTGCCTTTTCAATCATCCAGTCAGCGCATCTGAGATCTCCTCACAGCAGAATCAAACGTAAGGCACCAAAAAAGAGAGAGAGAGAGAGAGAGAGACAGAAAGGCCACAACCTTACATTCCTGTTTTCCGGCTGCGGAGGAGAATATTTTCCTCCCTTGTTAAAAGTGCCGTCACCCTGCGAGTGTGGTGAGGAAGCCGGTTTCCTCTACGCTACAGCTAGAAAAGGCCTGTCCTTGGGCATGTGCATTGTGTGTGTGTGCCTGTGCTGTCTGCAGAGGCTGCCATGTCTCCCATTGTTCCAGGGCGAGTGAGGCAGGCTTCCTACCCCAATAGACCCTGCCTACTACAACAGCTGTGGACCAGCCCCCACCTCTCTGCTGCTCTCCTTCTCCCACTCCCCTCCTCCTCCACCTCTTCCTCCTCCTCCTCCTCCTACAACTCCTGCCTCTCTGCCGTGCTGCTGCTGCTGCTGCTGCTACTAACCATTAACCCTGCAGCTGCCGGCTCAGGCCGTAAAGAGGTGAAGAGGGGGGTTGTGTTTCAGAGGAGACCCGAGTATGTAGCGTGGACAAAGGAACGTAACAGAGAGAGGATATCCGACAGCCGGGCTGAACTGACAGGAGTTCTGTACAGAGCCATTCAGTGCCCTAGAAAGAAAACAGGCTCTGTGCTAAGAGGATTGTCTTTCTCAATCACAGTGGTAATAAGTGTCGGACTGAGTCCTGCGAGACTGCGCTGAGGAAAGCAAAGTCACTGGGAAGCAGAATCAATCCAGAACAGGAGGCTGCAACTCATGACCATGTTCCTATTATACACAGATTATTTATTGTTTGGTCTATAAAATGCTAGAAAATATAGAAATATATCATAAGGCAATATTTTATTTTTTCATATTGTGACACGTTAAAGAATATTTAAAATACATTTTTCATTCCAACTCAAACATTCAATATATCGGCCACTAATTGGTAATCAGTGAATTTTCCCCCTCTATAATCGATATCGGCCTGGGTTGGTTACGAAATGTGTTTATTTAGATATATCTTTATCTGATTTATATCGGGCTCAAACATGCAGTATTGTAGCAGGAAATCTTCATATTTAAGCAGCGAATTTATGTTATTAAAAGATTATAAAGATTTAGGGCTCGATTCATTGTTTGACATTTTTCGAGCAAGAATTCCAAATATTTGCAAGTTAAAGCTTCTCAGACAAGATAATTTGCTGCTTTTCTTTGTCGTATCTGGTTGTAAACTGAATATTTATTTTATGTATTATTTTTGGACTGACAAGCAATTTAAAAACCAGGCACCTTTTGACAAGTGCCAATCACAATTTCCTAGAACACGTCTTTTTTAATTGCTTTAAAAAATCCAAACATACTCAGTTTGTGACAAAGGATTCAGTCTTCACATCTGAGAAGCTGGAACCAGAAATATTTGACGTTTTTTGCTCGAAATATGACAAAATATTTCCAAAACTGTGATTTTTGTGAATGATTATTCGAGCCGCTGCTTGTTTCTACGATCTGCGTCGTGTCTAAACCGGTCGGCAGCATTACGGTTTAGAAAACCTCAGCACAGTGTCTAACAGTGTGGTTTATCTCTCCAGGTTTTCACCCCGTGTGACTCATCTGCTCTCCTTGTTAATGAAGCCACATCATCCTCATTCCCCCAGACATACCAGACACACTAAACCGAGTCTGATGACAAAATAACTGGGCGCCAAGGCAACAACAGCAGGAGGAAGGAAAACACGGGTTTCAGGGCTTGAATGTGGGAGGATAATACGATAAAGTAATAACGGAAGGCAAAACAACCCAGCGACTGCGTCTGAAAAAAACCCATTTTTAAAAACAAATCTATATGTACCAATTTAAAAGTTGAGCCTTTCTCAATCTGACCCTAATTGAGTCGACAAGAGACCTGACCTCAATTGACTTTGCCCCCATATCAGACTTCCTATAGTGGAAATCAAGCGCCCCGGGGTGCTCACATGAATGTCAGTTGTTTCAAGCTATTGTCATTCAGATTTGACCAAAACAGGCGAACCAGTGTGGCGAGTATTCGGCTGTCCCACATTCACAGCAGAACCTCAGTTCGTATGTCTGAACTCAGAGAAGGCTTCTAAAACTAAATGAAACTGATCAACGAATATGGAAAAATCAGGGGAAACCCAAAGACAGAATAACAGTGAATCAACTCAAATGAGCCGACTGCTGAAAAATGCACAGGTCATCACAAATTAACCACAAACACACACACAGACACACCACATCAAAAATCACCCAGATCAAAAGAGCCTGTATCCAGTGAGGATTTATCCTCTTATTAGTGACACATATGGCGGTCCTGCCCAGTCTGTCCTCATCGCCAGGCCTCTAATCTGCGTCCACCTAGTGGCTGACAAAGAGAGGAGCTGCAATGTGACCATCGCTGCCCCAACAACTCTTTATTCTCTAAGAAAGAGTGGGAACCCTGAGGACTGGAAGGCAGAGTACTGACACATAACCCCAGTTATATTCCTCCTTTGGGAATGTATTTTGGGAAGAATTAGTCCAGCTTTATAGCTATGGTAGGTGTTTATCAGCTGAGCAGAGCGAACCATGCGGCCATGCTGGTATCTCTCGCCTCACTGGAGGTCCCTGATTCCTCTGTTTCTATTGATGCCGGGTTTATGAAGTCAAGGTCCTCTAAGTCTCATCTAACCACAACAGGCCTCTGACCACAGCCCACAAGTAACAGTTCAAATTA